CTGCGCCAAGAGATCCTGGGACCGCTCAGCCTCCTGCATCGCCTCGTCCTGCTGGATGTACGAGGTCAAGTTGTCCTCGTTAAGCGTCATCCTCGTGCTCAACGCCATTGACAGTCGCTTCATGAGGTTTTAGCTGCTTGAGAGTCCCTGCACAACGTGGGTGACGTACGACGCCGTCGAGTACTGCGCGTCGGCCATCCTGATGGTGGCGAGAATTCGCTGGGCTTGGTTGCAGTAGTCGGTCGTCGTCTCCTCGTCGCCCATACGCAGGTGTGTTAGCTGCCCCTCTAGCTAGGAGATAAACAAGTCGTCGGTGACTTGGTAGGTCGACTCAATGAAGTGTCACGCCAGGTGACCAGCGTGGAGGTACTCTCGGCACCACTTCAAGGTGATCTGCATGCCCGGCGAGCAGCACCGCGAGATGACCGTGGAGGTCAGTAGCTGCACGGCACGAAACTCTGCTCGCAAGTCAGGATGGTGCTCCTCCGGCGTCGCTACGGTCCCTCAGGCGAAGCCGATCAGCCCAGGCATCTCCAGCTGGGGCTCGATGGCTTCCTTCCAGGTGAGTATGTCCTGTCGACCAACGAGCGGTGGGGTGACCATGATCCTGTCCGGCGTAAACTTGAAATAGCCGTAGCTCAGCGCAATCTTGCCCGCCGTCACCTTGGTCACCGACATCGGCGAAATTGCGCTCCGTCGACCTCCGACGTCGCCCTGCGAGGAGCCTGCAGCCGCCGATGACTGCATCCCTTGCGCCTGAACGCCGCCGACTTCATTGGCCTGAATCACACCTCGTTGCCTCAACGTGCCTCCCGCACTGCTGCCGACCTGACCTACACCGGCGTTGATGCCCACATCGACGCCGTCGTCGTTGCTCACCGGTCAAGGAGAGGCAGGCCGAGAAGGGGGGTGCTCCGTCGCCCACATGGAGTGGAGTCCTGCCTCGACGACTGCCTAGAGTATCGCCCCGGACTCTTGGGCCTCATGGCGTCTCCTCGCATCCTCCAGCTGTGCCTCCAGCGTTTCCATCACCTCGGCGTCACCTACGCGCACGCTAGTGTCTGCACGGCTGCTGGCCTACGAACACGATCGGTAAGTGCAAAGTCAACTAGACCGAACTACGTCGCGGTGTTGTCCACGCTCACCGCACCATGCGGAGATAACTTTAGCAACAGGAGCTAGACTACGGGCTAGGCACGGGTGCTCGTGTGATCTCTGCGTTCGTTGGTCCTTAGTCGTTTCCTAGTGTATTTTCTACTTGCACATTCACGGGGAGATTTTGCAAGAGTTTCACTAGCAAGGATTGACAACAATGGGTGCAATAGCATTGGAATCACATATTACATCAGAGCTAGCTAAGCTGCTGGTCGACCTCCAGCGCAGCACGGTCGACCGCGCTCAAGTGCAGCGGCCCTCGCACCGCTCCAGTATTGCAGAGTAGCGATGCGCCAACGTTGCACGTCCATGGTGTGCCAACGTTGCAGCAAGTCGACTGCACACCGTTGCACCCGCAGGACAACGGTGCAACTGCTTCGCAGGTGCACGCAGCTGGTTGGTGCTCCAAGCCTCGTCACGAGCACAGCGCAGATGCCTGGTAGACTCCACGCCAGCGACCGCGCCCACCAGCCACGTCGACCTCGGGATACCACCCCCGAGGTCGGCCTCGCAGACTCCACCCCAGCAACAGTCGCACACGTCGCCCGGGTATCCCGGTCGACTGGGCAACCCCGCCTGGTCAACCAGCGCAGTCCGTAGCCCGGCCACACATGCCCGGCGTCCCCAGTTCAGCATCCAGGCGTCCAAGACGCCGTCCGGACACCCAGGTCGGCGTCCACGCGCCCAGGACGCCGTGTAGACCTCTAGAGCGGCGTCCAGCCTCCCATGACGTCGTACAGGCGCCCACGACGTCGACCAGGCGCCCAGGTCGGCGTACAGCTTCCCAGGAATCCGTCCAGGCGTCCAGGATGCGAGCCAGGCGTCAAGGGCGGCGTCCTCCTGCTCGGCGCCCTCCAACCAGGCGCCTTCCAGCTCGGCGCCCTTGCAGTGGCCCCCGTGCCCACTGCTACAGGTTGGCTGCAACCCCCGCACATCCGACCACGAGGTCGGCTCGGCCCAAGCAAGGACGGGGCCAAACAACACTCCCGTTGACAGGGGGCACGTGCAAGGACTGAACAAACGAGGCGAAGCTCCTTGTCTGCCAGCCTCTTGTTGATGCGTGGTGGAAGGGAGGGAGGGAGGGTGAAGAAGAGGCAAATGAGCAAGCAGCACAAAAGATTCTTAAGCATAGGGTTGAAATCATGTCTTCACAAATCAGCCATAACGAACTTGGCAAGATCTCCTCACGGTCCTGAGCCTTGAACATCGTCACCAACGAGTGAAGCCACTCCTGGCAACGAGCATTCCGCTTAGACTTGCTTTGTGGCCATGCATCAGGTGTGAACAGGCGGACTCCAGAGAGCGAATGGAAATCACCAAGCCTTCCCTCCAAGTTCGCCACGATCCTCTCTGCGAACTCGGTGCACAACTGGATGCAGCCGTCGTGGTCCTCCGGGCCGCTGTATGAGTCCACGGGCTCGTCGTGAAGGGTGAACGTGATAGAAGATGGTCGGCCATCGCTGTCGACACCTTCCACCTTCACTTCGCGGCTACACCCCGGGCCATGGTGCTCTAGGGAAGGTGACAGCCACTGGCTCATGCCACCGCCAAAGTCATCGCTGCAGTCCACGTAGCGGCTCTCGATGTGACGCGTTGTCCTCTTGATCTGCGCATGCAAAGACACCAGATCGAGCTAGACAGACAAAGGCACACAGTGACATAGTTAGAATGGTAAATAGGGTGACATGCGTGGATATAATCGTACCACCTCACCTGTCTCTGCTAGAAGGTCTTGTTCAAGATGTTGAGCTGCTCAAGCACATCAGCCAAGAAGTAAAGGAAGAAGTGACAACGGTAGGAGCTTGATAGCGCGTAAATCTTGCAGTTAAGCTCCTTCAGCAGCACAATCACTGCCGGCAAAACAGTGACAAGGCGACAGACGGCATCCCCCCTTGACAGCCACCGAACGGAGCGGATGCCTTGCACTTCAAGGCTCGTTTCGGTGACAACCTCTTGTAGATCCATGAACCGTGCGTGGCGCGGTCCCGACCGACCAAGCAAATCGGCCACAACACGGATGAGGTCGTCGACCATGTCGAAGACGGGGAGCTCCTCTGCCGCATCCTTCGCTGCAAGTGCCTTCCTGCAAGTGGAACACATCGAACTCGGGAAATTAGTGACGAGCTCGAACAAGATGACGTAACGAGATAAAAACAAAACAGTGAAGCTCACTAACCTGTGAGCGATGCAGTGAACGGAGACAAGGTGCGGGATTTTCTGTCGCAGTCGGGCAACCAGGCCGGCCTTAGACCCCATCATCACTCTTACGCCGTCGGTGCTAATGCCGGAAATCCTCTGCGGATTGACACCGACTGCCTGCAAGTGGGAAAGCAGGATGCTCATAAGAGAAGAAGCGTCCGCCTTTTCCACCAAGATCAGCTGCATGAACTCGGTCACGAGGACGTTGTCGCGGATGAACGAGGCGTACAAGATCATGTGCTTCCCCCTGAGCCGATCCGTGCTTTCATCGATGCAAATGCCGATGAAAGGGCTTGTCAGGATGTGCTCTAGCTGAGTTGTCTGTAGCCAGGTAGCAAGGGCCTAAGTGAGCTCACCGAAGCCGTACCTGCCAGCAGGGAAACCGAAGACAAGAGATTAGAAGAAGGTGAAGGTAGGAACATTATAACACCAACACAATACAAGGGTGACTAATACTCACGATGTGTAATACACCCTTGCGCGCGAGGTACTGCACCAGCTTTACCCTGTCATAACATTATAGCTTATATATATTTGTGTAGACTATAGTGGGGTATCCCGTAGGGGGTACAATCCAATCAGGGTTTCCTATATGTACACACTTCATTCATAGTTTATTCATTCTCGTTCTATTCTTCTCATGGTATTGAGCAGGTTCCCCTGTGGGAACTGTGCTTAGGGCCCACCACTTCGAACTTTTTTTTCTGCACGGAGCGCGCTCCAGGCTCTCACTCTCACTCTGTCGACCTACCCTACGCCCCCTAGACGCCCGCGCGCCGCCCTTAGACGCCCGCGCGCTGCCCGTCCCGGCCCTTAGACGCCCGCGCGCCATCCTTAGCTGCCCGCGCGCCGCCAGTCTCGGCCCCTAGACGCCCGCGCGCCGCCCGTCCAGGCCCCACGCCGCTCGCGCGCCGCCCTTAGCCGCCCGTCAGGCCCCGAGCCGCCGTTGGGCCACCCTTAGGCGCTCGTGCGGCGCCCGTCCCGGCCCGTCGGCGCCGTGCGCCGCCCGTCCCGGTCCCACGACGCCGTGCGCCGCCCGTCCCGGCCCCACGCCACCCGTGCGCCGCCCGTCCGGCCCCAAGCCACCCGTGCGCCGCCCGTCCCGGCCGCGCACAGCCGTCTCAGCCCCTCGGCGCCCGTGCGCCGCCCGTCCTGGCCCCTCGCCACCGTCCCGGCCCCAAGCCGCCCGTGCGTCGCGCGTCCCGGCCCCGCTCCCAGCCGCCCGTGCGCCACCCGTCCCAGCCGTGCGCCGCCGTCCCGGCCCCACACCGCCCGTGCGCCACCCGTCCCTGCCGCACGCCGCCGTCCCGGCCCCACGCCGCCCGTACGCCGCTGTGACACCCAGCCGCCCGTGCCACCCGCGTTACCCGAGCCGCCCGAGCTGCCTACGCCGCTGAGGAGCCGAGCCGCCCGAGCCGCCTGTGCCGCTGAGTGCCCGAGCCGCCCGAGCCGCCCGAGCCGCCCGAACCGCCCGAGCCGCCCGAGCCGCCTGCACCGCCCGAGCTGCCCGAGTCGCCTGAGGAGCCGAGCCGCTGATCCCGCGGAGCTGCTGTTGCCGCTGGGCCGGCCGAGCTGCTGTGTTGCCGTGTTGCTGAGCTGCTGAGCTGCCCGACCCGTCCTGTCTGGTGAGACCGTCGACTACTGTCATGGCTACCCCTAGTGTCCTAGCTTTTGACGCTGAGGGTCGCGCCATTGACTTTGAGGTCTGGGTCGACGACCTGCAGCTGTTCTTACAGTGCGATAGAGCAGACGGTCTTTCTCTCTTTGACCTCACCTCTGGCGCCGTCCCTGCCCCTACTGCTGATGCTGACCCCACTGTTCGCTCCCAGTGGGCCACACGCGATGCTGCTGCACGTCTTGCTGTGCGTCGCCACCTGCCTACCGCTAAGCGCGCGCACTTTAGTCAGTACAAGAGTGCTCAGACCTTGTACGACGCTGTAGTTGCGCGCTACTCCTCCCCTCCCACTGCTGCATTGAGCCGCCTCATGCTACCCTTCCTCTTCCCTGACCTTGCTGCCTTTCCCACAGTCGCTGACCTCATTACGCACCTCCGCTCTAGTGACACTCGCTACCGCGCTGCGCTCCCTGCTGACTTCTGCGCCAAGAACCCCCCCCCCCATGTACATCACTCTCTATTTCATAGTCACTCGTCTCCCTGACTCCCTTCGTGTAGTCTGGGACCACTTCCTCTCAGTCTGTCCCACCACACTCACTGTAGACCTCCTCGAGAAGTCCCTCCTAGCGGTAGAGAAGAGCATAGTCGCTGTAGGGGCCTCTCGTGGTGACCCTCGCACCCCCATCTTTGAGGGGTGTTCTCCTTTCCCCCTGTTGCCCTCCGTCGCCTCTGCCGCTGCGGCCGACCTCGTTGGTCTTGAGTCGGTCGGTGCCGCGTCCGCCCCTAGCGGAAGACGCCGCCCTGGCAAGGGCAAGGGGGGCAAGGGCGCGGGTGGAGCTGGCGGGGGCGGTGGAGGTGGAGGTGGCAATGGCGGAGGGAGTGGGGGTGGCGGTGGAGGTGGTGGTGGGGGTGGAGGTGCTAGTAGCGGCAGTGGAGGCGGAGGCGGCGGTGGCGGCGGCGTTGCTGGCGGAGGCGGCGGTGGCGGAGGAGGCGGAGGCGGCGGAGGTGGAGGTGGTGGAGGTGGTCGGAGTGGCGCTTCGCAGCGGAGCAGCACTGGGGGTGGTCAGCGCCAGCAGCAGCAGCAGCTGTCTCGCGACGTCCCCACCCCTCAGCAGCTCCATGAGTGGTACACGCAGCGTCAGCGTGGTGGGGGTTTTGGTCCCTGCACCTACGTCCTTCGCACCGACGACCGCACGGGTGAGCAGTGTGGGGGTGCCCACTCCGCCCAGCGCTGCTTTGGCCGCCTGACGGACGCTTGGCGCCAGCAGTTTCCGGAGGCCACTGAGATCCCCCGCTGGGGAGAGCTGTCTAGGGCTAGTGTCGCTATCTTTGATCTTGACTTTGATGCTATCCTTGCTGCCATGTATGTTGTGACTATTAATGATGAGGGTGACTGTTACTGGTGTTTCCCGTCCGACCCGGGCATTGGTACTACTGCTCTAGGTGCCAGTGAGGCTACTGCTCTAGGTGCCAGTGCGTCTGTGCTCTCTGGTACTGGTGAGTCTGCGCTCTCAGGTACTAGTGAGTCTGCGCTCTCAGGTACTGCGTCGGCTTCGGCCTCCCACACCTTCACCCTTGACTCTGGGGCGTCTCGCTCCTTCTTTCGGGACCGCACCACACTCACGCCGCTTAGTCGGCCGGTTGCGGTGTCCCTAGCTGACCCCTCTGGGGGTCCTGTCCTATCTCGCTTCTCCACAGTCCTCCCGTGTCCTGCGGCTCCCTCTGGCACCCTGACTGGTCTCTACCTCCCCTCGTTCTCTACGAACCTGGTGAGTGGTGCTGACCTACAGGATGCGGGTGTCCACCAGTTCACTCCTGCTCGTCAGCGGGTGACGCACTGCACAGAGGCTAGCACAGGTCGCCACCTGGCTACGTTTACACGTCAGCCAGGGTCGAGCCTGTACAAACTGACCAGTGCTTCTCCTCCAGTTGCTGAGTCTGGTAGAGTCCCTGCGTCTGGTCAGGTGTTTGCTGCAGCGTCCAGGTCTGGTCCTGAGTCTGCCCCCTGTTCGTGTCGTCGCCTGTCTCACGAGACTCTCCTCTGGCACCACCGCCTTGGTCACACCTCTCTGCTTTGGCTTAGAGGCATGGCCTCCCGTCTTCTTGTGTCTGGTCTCCCCCGGTCCCTCCCTCCCCTTCCTCAGGGCCCTGGCCCTGCCTGTGTCCCCTGTGTCGAGGGGCGCCAGCGTGCTGCCCCTCACTCCTCCCAGTTTCCTCCGACAGAGGCCCCGTTGCAGACGCTGCACATGGACGTGTGGGGCCCTGCCCGCGTCCGTGGACTTGGTCACGAGTGCTACTTCCTCTTGGTGGTTGACGACTACTCGCGTTACACCATAGTCTTCCCCTTGCGCAGCAAGGGTGATGTCACTGAGGTGCTGATCGACTGGATCCGCGCAGCTCGTCTCCAGCTCAGGCAAAGCTTTGGCTCGGACTTTCCTGTCCTGCGTTTGCACTCTGACCGCGGCGGAGAGTTCTCCTCTGGCCTTCTGCGTGCCTACTGTCGTGCGCGAGGCATCCGTCAGACCTTTACGCTTCCGGACTCACCACAGCAAAATGGGATTGCAGAGCGCCGCATTGGCATGGTCATGGATGTCGCTCGTACGTCTATGATGCATGCGGCTGCCCCCCATTTTCTGTGGCCGTTTGCGGTCAGGTACGCGGCGCATCAGATCAACCTTCAGCCCAGGGTCTCCAGGTTGGAGACCTCCCTAGCCTTGCTGTGGACGGGGAAGGTTGGCGATGCGTCGGCATTCCGGGGCTGGGGATCTCGGGCGTTTGTCCGCGACTTGTCTGCGGACAAGCTGTCCCCTCGCGCTGCTCCCTGCGTCTTCTTGGGGTTCCCCCCCGACGCCCCTAGGTGGCAGTTCTACCACCCCACCTCTCGCCGTGTTCTTTCCTCCCAGGACGTCACGTTCGACGAATCGGTACCCTACTACCGCCTCTTCCCCTACCGCACTCCGTCCCTTCCCCCACGCCCGCTCTTCTTGGTACCAGGTCCCCCCCCGGTAGACCCCCTTCCCCCTCAGGGTCCTGCCCCTTCAGGTGTGTCCCACGTAGACGTGGTTGAGCCTGTCGAGGTCACTGGTGACTCTGGTGCTGCAGCGGGTGCTGAGCCTCGGCGTGCGGGGCCTGGGGGTGCGGAGTCTGGGGGTGCGGAGCCTGGGGGTGCTGAGCCTGGGGGTGCTGAGCCTGGGGGTGCTGAGCCTGGGGGTGCTGAGCCTGGGGGTGCTGAGCCTGGGGGTGCTGCGACTGGAGGTGCTACGCCTGGAGGTGCTTTGCCTGGGGGTACTGAGCCTGGAGTTGCTTCGCCTGGAGGTTCTCCGAGTGCTTCGTCTCGCCGAGAGCCACTCTCCCCGCAGGAGCTGCGTGAGTGGTTTGCCCGGCGCTGGAGGCGTGCTGCTGGTGCTGGCGGTTCTTCGGCTGCTGAGGGTGTTGCTGTCACGGGTCCCAAAGGTGCTCGTACTGGGAGTACTGGAGGTGCACGGCCTGCGGGTTCGACTGGAGCTGATGCTGCTGAGGGTGTAAGCGCTGAGACTACCACTGGCGGTCCTGCTGGGGGTGCTTCTGGTGCTGCTGGAGGTTCTGGAGCTGCTTGAGGTGCTGCTAGAGCGGGTACTCCTGCTGGGGGTACTCGTGCTGTCCCTGCTGTGTCTGGCGTCGCCGCGCGACCTCGACCGTTTTTCGTTCCGCTCCTGCAGCAGGTTCTTGGTCTTCCACCTTCTAGTGGTTCTACTGTCCCATCACAGTCACAGCTACAGCCTGCCTCCCCCTTACCTGCTCCTTCTTCCTACGCTAGTCCTACTGGAGGTCTTACTGAGCGTCGTAAGCCTGCGTCTCGTCATGCGTCGCCTGTTTGTACTGCACCACAAGTGGTCGCAGTTCGCGTCAGCGTCCTCCTCCTGTCCCTGGCACGCACCGGATGTCACTGCGTCCATCTACTGCTCCTCTACGTGCCCCTTTACCTTCTCCTCCTGAGTCCTCTCTTCCTGCTCTTGCCGACCCGAAGTCGGACTCTCTTCGTGCTGCCAGTCCTACTGTCACGCGTTTCCTTGCTATTGTCGTCACTGACCCTTCTTTTGAGTCTTCTGCTGCGTCTGCCCTCGTTACTGAGCTCGTCGACTTTGCTGCTCGCTGTCGCCTAGACTACGCTGCTAGTCTTGTCGCTGAGTCTGAGTCTATCTGTCCTCCGTCCGTCGGGGGTGAGTGTGCCCTTGGCACGGACGTCCTCGAGGAAAGGCAGGAGGAGTTCCAGTGCCTGGCAGCCGCTTCACCGCATCTCTTGTCCGTACTGCTTACCCCTGAGGGAGACCCGGATGCACTTTACATCCCGACTCCGCGCTCTTACGCGGAGGCGATAGAGGGTCCGTACTCCTCTTAGTGGCTGGCAGCTTTGGATGCATAGATGGATTTCTGGAAGTCCACAGGCACCTACGTTGACGCTGTTCCCCCTCCAGGGGCGAACATCGTCAGTGGCATGTGGATCTTCAGGGTGAAGCGGCCGCCGGGTTCTCCGCCTGTCTTCAAGGCGCGTTACGTGGCTCGTGGCTTCAGCCAGCGGCAGGGAGTTGACTACTTTCAGACCTTCTCCCCCACCCCGAAGATGACCACTCTTCGGGTACTGCTGCACGTTGCTGCTCACTGTGACTACGAGCTGCACTCTCTCGACTTCAGCACTGCTTTCTTGCAGGGCAGCCTGCACGAGGAGATCTGGCTGCGCCGCCCACCTGGCTTCACTGGGTCTTTCCCTCCTGGTACCCAGTGGAGTCTCCAGCGTCCAGTCTACGGTCTCCGCCAGGCGCCACGTGAGTGGCACGACACACTGAGGACTACGCTGGCGGCACTTGGGTTTGCTCCTTCTATTGCCGACCCGTCGCTGTTTCTGCGCACCGACACCTCTCGGCCGCCGTTCTACATCCTCGTGTACGTCGACGACTTGGTCTTTGCCACTGCTGACACTGCTGGACTCGCCTACGTGAAGTCTGAGCTGCTGAAGAGACACACGTGCACAGACCTGGGTGAACTGCGCAGCTACCTTGGCTTGCAGATCACTCGGGACAGAACATGCCGCACCATTACCTTGACTCAGTCACACATGGTGCAGCAGGTCCTTCAGCGCTTCGGCTTCACGTACTCCTTGCCTCAGGCCACTCCTCTGCCTACCCGCCACTTGCTCTCAGCTCTGCCTTCGGATGAGTCCGTAGAGTCGAGTGGCCCGTATCCGGAGCTTGTTGACTGCCTCATGTACCTGATGACCTGCACTCAACCTGACCTGGCATACCCTCTTAGCATTCTCGCACGCTATGTTGCTCCTGGGAGACACCGACTAGAGCACATGGCTGCAGCGAAGAGGGTGTTGCGCTACTTGTGCAGTACGTCGGGCATGGGGCTAGTGCTAGGAGGGCGGAGTCCAGTAGTCCTCACTGGGCACGCGGACGCTTCTTGGACTGAAGACCAGGCTACGCAGCGGTCGTCATAGGGTTACACCTTCAGTCTTGGTTCCGGCTCTGTTTCGTGGCGGGCTACCCGCTCGTCTTCTGTTCTCGGCTCCAGTTGTGAGGCTGAGATCTACGCCGGGGCTATGGCTGCCCAGGAGCTTCGCTGGCTCACCTACCTGCTGACCGACCTTGGAGAGCCGCCTCGTTCTCCTCCAATCCTGTACGTAGACAACAAGGCCATGCTGGCCTTGTGTCGAGAGCAGCAACTGGAGCACAGGACAAAGCACATTGCTCTCCGCTACTTTCTTGTGCGTGAGGTACAGCAGCGTGGACAGTTGCGGCTTGCGTACGTGGCCTCTGAGGCCAACACTGCTGATGTCTTCACCAAGGCACTTGCGCCTTGTGATCATCAGCACTTCTGCACTCAGCTGGGTCTTGTGCGTGTCTTGCCTCACTTGCTCACTTCTTGACCTTGCTTGTATTGTCACATACATATACTCTTGCTCTTGCTTGCTTAGCCTCTTGTATATATATATGTGTGATCTTGCATGTGAACTGCCCTTTTTGGCCTTTGAACTTGTGCTCGGAATGTGTAGTGACTTTGTGATCCACCCTGAGCTTTGCTTTGCTTTGCTTGACTGGTCTTGTGACCCCTTGTTCTCCCCCAATTTGCCTATGGGGGTGTGTCAGAACATTATAGCTTATATATATTTGTGTAGGCTTTAGTGGGGTATCCCATAGGGGGTACAACCCAATAAGGGTTTCCTATATGTACACACTTCATTCATAGTTGATTCATTCTCGTTCTATTCTTCTCATACCCATGTTCCCGTGGGCGCATCCCAGGAACTGACGAACAGCATAGAGTCGAGCAACGCCATAACTCGGTTCCTCTCAGCATCGACGGCGGCTCGATGCTGGTCGATCCGTGGCTGCTTTGAGGCTGCGTTCAGCAGAGCCTCCTGGTTCTCCATCGCCAGCTTGTGTTTCGTCGTACCGGCGTGCTTGCGAAATGTCTGCGTCTGCACGTCGGTCGCCCCTCGCCCTGGCCGACCACATTGTCTCGTGACTCCGGCATGCTTGGTGCAGACAGTGCACTTAAAAGTAGGGACGTTAGCACAAGCCACGGGAACCTCTCTGACCACTTAGTTTTGTACTTCAAAAGAGTGTCTGCATAGACTGCTTCAATGGTCTCCGAAATGTCTATGACCAATGATGGACAAAGGGATGTATTGTTCACGACAGGTTGCTCGACAGCGATGCTGGAAGATGGCTTTGCCCAGCTCAGCGTCGATTGCTTCAGCTTGAAGTTGCGCGGGGCAGAGGACTTCGTTGTTGGCGACTCGACAACCATTGTGTCGGAGACGGCAGCCGATGCAGCAGGCTCACGCCAGATGGAATCTGGGCTTGAAGAAACAGGTTGGTGGTCGCAGTTCACCCTCTCGACTAGAGCAGGCTTTGCAGTAGGAGGCCGGGGAGCGAGGACACCAGTGCCTAGCGAGCGCAGGAGCATATCAAGTCCCGTCCTGGCTTCCTCTAGGCCGTCTAGTTCATCATCACTACTATCCATGCCTGCATAATCATCGCAAGCTAGGCCTTCTGCAAGGCCGGCCATGGCTGAAAGGGGAGAGCGTGCCAAGCTCCAACGTTGCTAGCTAGGGTTTGAGAAAATCACGGCAAGAGGCGGGGATTGACGGTGCAGCTCGCCTGGTGGGTGGGTACGGTGGGGTCATCAAGAGCGAGCCATAAAAGAAGGCCCTCTCGTTCTCACCACCCAACTGCAACGCGGCGCGACGTGGGGGCACCATGCACGCACTTGGATGCCGGTTCGGGGTGGGTGAGATGGGGTGAGGTGGGTGTCTTTGTCGTGAATGCGTGCGGTGCGTTGCTGTGCTGCACTGGTGGTGGGTGATTGGCCCATAAGGGATGTGATTGGTTAAACAACCAATCACATCAATTAAAGCATTCTGTCGGTGACAATGAAGCAACCGACGCGTCGGAAAAAAATCGTTTTCCCCCCCGCGTCGGCGCTGTATATGGCAACTTTTGCGTGATTGACGGTGGATGTACTTGGACAGCCGAAACTCACAGCTCCAGCATGAATCTGTAATAGCGTGAAATCAGCCAATACATAAAAAATAAAATTAATAATTAAAAAAAAAAAAAAAACCTGGAACAATCAGCCAACACATTAAAAAAAAAAACTGAATTATCAGCCAACGCATCAAGCAGATGTCTGGGAGTCAGCCTCCAGAGCCTAAATCAGCCTTTTTTCTCTGACTTCTGAGGTCCTGTAACGCATGTACCCCCTTACCTCCCCAACCCATCAAGTGTCGACTGTTGCAAAGCTGCGAAGGAGCTCATCAGCTTCACCACAATCCTCTCCACCCACCACGAAGACCTCCCCTTCCACGACAACCTCTCGCAGATGCTCTAAACGCTGGATTAGGAGTCGGCCTTTCCGAACCTCGATGGCCTTTGGATAGCTGTTGCCGTGCTCCCACTCAGCACTGTTGAGTGTGAGCGCGGATTCAGCCATCAGAAAATCATCAAAAACTGGGTGCACGGCAACATGTGCGACACGACACTTGGCGACATGATGATGGTTTTGCTTCTGGATTACGAGCTGGATACAGAGTAGCTGGTGGAGAGGTGGCATGCCAACAAGAAGTGGCGGCCCTCTCGTGAGGTGGTCATGGCTCAAAGATCACGCCCGTTGAAGAGACGGCGGTCCCACCACCAGAAGAGACGCGCTGCAGCATCAACAGCAGCATGGCCTTGTTGTCTACGTACAGCACTGGAGGAGCACGAGGCGGCTCTCCAAGGTCAGTCAGCAGGTAGGTGAGCCAGCGAAGCTCCTGTGCAGCCATGGCTCCGACGTAGATCTCAGCCTCACAACAGGAGCCGAGAACAGAAGACGAGCGAGTAGCCCGCCAAGAAACAGAGCCAGAACTAAGACTAAAGGTGTACCCCTGCGACGACCGTTGCGTAGCCCAAGAAGCGTCCGCGTGGCCAAGGAGGACCACTGGACTCCGCCCTCCAAGCACTAGCCCCATGCCCGACGTACTGCACAAGTAGCGCAACACCCTCTTCGCTGCAGCCATGTGCTCTGGTCGGTGTCTCCCAGGAGCAACATAGTGTGCAAGAATGCTAAGAGGGTA